TTGATATAATGGAGTCATTTTTCGCTATCTTTGTATTATTTTCTCCAATACTTCAACAAACATTGAGTTTTACCGAGAAATGAAATATAACACAAATTAGGTAGTATTTTATCCAAAAAACAGTAAAATATCATCATTTAGGACCTCTAATAAGTGTAGAAACTACACTTGTCAATTAGTATCATAAAAGGCTATAAGATGGGCGTAACAAGTGTTATAGAAAGTTTTATGATAAATGTTACGACCACATGAAATACTATATTTTAAGATCGTATTTATATTATGACTGTTTTCATTTATAATGAAAGCCGTATTTTTCGAAAACATTCATTCCCAAATAAAACACCCTCATGTTTACATATACAAGAAGAAAATCGATTCAATTTCAACAACAATTCATAACATTTCATTCGCGATTAGCATATATGTTTGGTGAAGATTAAAATCAGATTTTTAATAGATTTTATTAAAAGTTAATGAAATGTGTGGTTGAAAAGTTGTGAATTTCATAAAATGAGTGGTTAAAATTTATTGTTGACTTTAAATTAAATTAAAATCTAAATTTTAATTTTCACCAAACAGGGCTCTCAGTGGAATAACACAATCCATTCATAAACTCAAGATCACGCATATCATGTCATTATAGAACTTTATTTTTTGAAAGCACAATGTAGAACTTTTGTTGGCATTCTCAATAATCCCATGTTGTTCTTGTGGACATGCACGAACATTTGTTAAATTTGTCACTGAACTCTTTTTTCTCAATAAGAAGCCATGCCCCATGCTTATTAGGGCAATGTTTGGTGTACATAATTTTTTATACATAGATGTGTCATTTCCTTCACATGGGGTGGGAAGTAGGTCCTACCTCAAGTGAGGGAAATGACACCCTTATGTACACATTTTTTATGTACACCAAGAATAATTCTACTTATTAATCTCGGAACATTTTGTGGATGATCTCAACAAATTCGAGGGTGGCGCATGTTATATCACATATTATTCTTGCTTTTTTTTCCTCTAATTGTGTGATTTTTTGCTCTTTGTCGTATGAATTATTCATTTACTGCAGAGCATATAGAAATAATATAGATTTTGATAGTGTGTGTAATCTTTTGAATTACCATTTGGATTTTTATATTGACTTTTCTCATAGTTCTTTTTCAATAAGAACAATAATATATCAATCGACTAATAAGTTTGTCTGGGAGCAATGCAGGGACAGGCCAGCGCCCATTTTTTTCACCTTAGATTTGACGATTACAAGGATTTATGCAACGGTCCACTAGATAAATTTTTAGTTGTCAAAAATCAGGCTGTTCTCCAGTTTTGTGTTTTGACTTTTGAATTTGGGTTGTGTGTTTTGATAGTCTATTTTCAGATTGTTGAAAGAGAAAATCAAATTTTTACTATATATTATTTTAAAAATAAGAAAACAACTTTCAAATTTCTAAAATCAAATAT